GGGGAAAGAGAGAACAGCAGCCCCATAATTCCTCTATATGTCTCCCCTCCCCTGGCCAGGAGCAAGCCTCATGGGTGTGCCAGTGTGAGGAGGGTCTGGTGCAGAAGCTGGAGCAGGATTTCAAGCTGACTCTGCAGCAACAGAGCTCCCTGGACCAGTGGGCCAGCTGGCTGGACAACGTGGTCACCCAGGTCCTGAAGCAGCATGAAGGTGGGGAGGGCTTCCCAAAGGCTGCCCGGCAGTTCCTCCTGAAGTGGTCCTTCTACAGGTAACCCTCACCACCGGCCCTTCTTCCCTGTGATAGAGCCGGGTCACGTTCCAGGCCACCCCAAGAGTCCTTCCGGTGCCAAACTCTGGCATATGCTCCTGGTTTGCTGGTGGTAAACAGATAAAGCAGGTAGTAGGTAGCAGAGGAAAGCCTCCGAGGGATCCAGCATCCTCAAAACAGCTCATTCTACCCTGACTGTCCCCAGCCAATGATCCAATTCCCCATGGCTGGCTAAATAGGGATCTCATTTCTGACAGAAGATGGCTCAGCAAAGGTCAGAGTTGACTTGAAGGCACACAGCAACACCAACAACATTGTATATATTGATTGCATTCAGTGGGACAGTCCCAGGGGAGTCAGGATCCTTCCCTGCCATTGACTCAGATTCCTTGGCCAATTTAACCTCTGAACCTGAGCAATAAAAAAATAAATTCTCAGGGTTGCCCAAAGGCACCCATACCCAGCTCTGTAGGTTTCTTTCAAAAACTCCTCACTCTCTTTCCCATCAGCAAACTCTACAAGTTAAATCCCGCACTTCCCCAAATGTTTTCCGTTTCTCCTTCTCTTCTGGCAGCTCCATGGTGATCCGCGACTTGACCCTCCGCAGTGCTGCCAGCTTTGGCTCCTTCCACCTCATCCGCCTCCTATACGATGAGTACATGTTCTACCTGGTGGAGCATCGCGTGGCCCAGGCCACGGGAGAGACCCCCATCGCCGTGATGGGAGAGGTGAGAAACGAGAAACCCACCCATCCCAAGTCAGGGAGGGTCTTCCTGGCTACTCCAGAAGGATAATGGTACTCACCTGGATGGCAGTGGTGTCCCACAACGCAGGGCGGGCGTTCCTGGGGGTCTCTTCAAAGGGCAAACTCCATGCATTCAGTCCCCTGGTTTCCTGCTTTCTGGGATCTGCCATAGGCCACAGTTCCTCCCCCCGAAACAAAACATAAAATAATCACAAGTCCGCTGGTTTTCTAAACCTTTTTTGGGGGTGCATCCCAACTGATTTAAAAGTCCCAGATTTTGTTCCTCTCCTTCCCAGTTTTCTAGTGGGCAAAAATAAACCAACCCGGGGGATCTTTAATTGTGTTGGGAACTGGCAGAAAATATTCCAGGATAACCAAAATGTGTATGAATCGCCCAAGAAAAAAAAAAAACAACCAGAAATAACAAGAACAAAATCTGGGACTTCCTGGTGTTTTTAATTGGCCTGAATGCACCTTTTGGTTTTTTTCCCCAAACTAGGTTACCAGTGTGAAAGTCTACCAAACCACAAGAAAAAAAGTTTTTTTTAATTGTTTTAAAACATGCAAGTTGAAAACAATTATTTAAAATACATTTTAAACAGAGGTATGCATAAATAATTTTCTGGTACACTGTGCAAATATTGTGTATCGGGTGAATCCTGGGGCAAAAATATATGTAAATATTCATTTTCTCCAGTAGGAAGTGAAAAACTACAGGAATTATTTATGTTCACAAACGAGGACAGAATAGTTGAAGATTCAAATTCTTTTCTTACCCAGTGGCTTGTTTTCTCATCTTTTTCAGTTCAGCGATCTTGCGTCTCTGTCTCCGACTCTCCTGGAGAAAGGTATTTTGTTCCTCTCTCATCTTTTCTCTCTTTTGGGGTTATGGGGAGGAGTGGAGGAATGGCAGGGAGGGAATTGATCCCTCAATTTGGATTCTGCCATCATGGATTGCCATGTCACCAGAGACAAGAGACAGCAGATCTGTTCCGGATTTGAGTCTGAACTTAAAAGGTGCTCGCTCTCTCTCCCTTGTTCCCACCAAACAAGTATGGGAAAGTTGTGCAAATAGAGGGAAAGGCCTCTAGAGGGAAGGGAGCAAGAATAAACCCACTGAATTGATGGGTTTTCTTTGAGGGTTGGCGTACCATTCACTGATGGATGGATGAAATCAGGACTAGAATGTTAGGCCGTTTCTTGGCAGGCTGTGACCATTTGGGGCTGGACAGTTCATTTCTTCCTCCTCTTCCCCACAGACGACATCAGTGACCAGGGGAGCGATGGGGAGGTCGATCCCCGGTGCGCTTCCGACGAGCCTCTCGTGAAACGCGAACGCGGCGATCCGGGACCCTCGTTGCAAGAGATCTAGAACCAGGAGGTGCCTTTTTTTGCTTCGAAACCCAACAGATTATTTCCAAAGCTCATCCTGGCATCACGAGCAGCTCCTTGCTTCCTCTCGGCGCTCCCTCGTTTTCGCAGAAGGAGCCGAAGAAGCCGCGCTGGTGGATCGGGACGCTTGGCGGCTAACGCAAGGATGCCGATGGACTCTTGGTGCCATTCTGCCTCTCGCTCTTTCACGCGAAGCCTTAACCGGTTGGCAGGACAGACCACAGGACTGTTTGAAAAGGGGGTGAGGGGGTCATGGTGGGGAGAGGGGCTTCATGCCATCCTCCCCGCAAACACCCCCCCACCCATCCAAATCAGGCCTTTTTCCCAGGTTTCCCTGGACGACAGCACTGTGATGCACATCCCCCTGTCTCCCCATAGACCAGATTCCTCTCAAGTTAATGCGCCTTTGTGTGGGGAGATGTATGGGGTTTGTGGCCCCCTTCTCTATCCCCCAACTTGCCAAATAAATCTACACTGTGTTTAAAGCCTGGCTGGTCCTTCCTTTGCCACAGCTTCCACAATGGAGTGTGCATAGACTTCTCCTACCAGATACAAGGAGACTATCATAATGACAAAAAAGCAACCAAAATTAGATCTAGTTTTTCTCCAGTCATTCTTGCATTTCAGTGGGGAGGCAATTAGGAACCAATGGCTCCTCAGATTTTGCTGGACTCTAGCTCCCATCATCCCCAGTCATTGGACAGCCATATCTCGCCTTCCTTCTTTGCCTTAACAAATTTTATTTGTACAAGTTGCATTTTTCTTATCTGAAATGCTTGGGAGTGGAAGTGTTTGGGATTTTGGAATATTTGGAAATACATAATGAGATTTCTTGGAGATGACATCCTGGGTTTCGTGTCAATTCATTTATGTTTCAGCCATGTAAACCCACTGAGTAACCTTGGGCCAGTCACACACTCTCAGCCTCAGAGACAATGGCAAACTCTCTCTGAAGAAACCTGCCAAGAAAACCCCATGATAGGGTTGCCATAAGTCAGAAACCCCTTGAAGGCCCACAGCAACAAAATACCCCTTATACACATAAAGGTAATGTTATACCCAATATTTTTTAATACATTTGTTCATGAAACAAACTGGGAGTACCTTGAACCGCCAGAAAGCAAAGGTGTCACTCTGTCAGCTACCCAGCCTGACATTTTTTAATATTTCACATAAGGAAAACTCAACCTGGATGCAAGTTATTTCCCCTCAAGCCAAAGACACAAGGGGGGTCGGGGTCTGAGCACTTTCGGCTTGAGAGCCGGGTGGGAATCCTGAGAATTTGGTGGTCCAGTGGTGGATGGAGCCAAAGGCAAGTGGGGTGTGTGTGTGTGTGTGTGTCTAAAACCAGCGGCCATATTCTCCCTAAGATCTTCTCTGGGGAGCCTTTGAGAGGACAAACTCCATTCAGAAACCGGGGAAATGCTGCCAAGTTGGGGGTCAAAGGGAGCCGTGGGCCTTGGGGGCCTTTGTGGCCAAGGTTTAGCAAGGGGGGCTCCCCAGCTGCAAAACCCATTCCTCCTCCTCCTCCTCCTCTGAGGGTTTTGGGAAGCCACCTGGGGGCAGGTGAGGAGGCCCTTGGGCCACTTGGCTCCTCCGTAGGACCCCCACTGACTGAGCCAAGAGAAGAATGATTGCAGCTGGGAACGAGGGTCTCCCTTGCTGGAAATGTTCATTGTTTTCAATGGGGCTCATGCCCTCCTTTTCCTCCTGCTGCCTGCCAGCCTTACCTGGAGCCTTGCTTGGTGCCAACTGCGCTGTCTCCTTGGGGCGTTTCCGGTTGAGGCTAATGTCTGGATTATTTGCCTTTCCGCCTCTGGACAGCGGAGACATGACATGGCCCCCAAATGCCATCGGACCCTGCTGCCCTCTTGATGGAGTGACAGCAATTGTGCTTTTAAAAGCCATTTAACGCCAGCTGTGTTGGGGGGAACCGTCTCCAGTAGTGCCAACAGCGGGCATCTTTTGCCCCAAAGTTGTGCCATCGAGTGGTTTTTGACTTAGGGCAGGGGTAGGCAACCTTTTTGAGCCGGGGGCCAGGTTGCTG